TGAGCACAAGGCAGCTGGTCCTGGGATTAAAAAAGGAGGGGGAAGCAGGAGGCCCAGCAAGGCACGCAACGCTCACCCCCTGCCCAAAGATGAGAGGAGAAGCCCCATCCCAGGACTGTGAGCATGATAAACTTACATGACTCGAAGCCTGCTTCCTGGTCGTCCAGTTCATCTTCTTAAGCACCTGTTTCCGTGCTTGCCCATCCCTCTCTGCCTGCCCTGTTGTCCACTGTGCTACGTGCACAGAGCCTGGCTTATTCCCTGGGTGAGCTGGGCTTGTCCCCGCCCTCCTCCTCTGCCCCAAATCCCTGATGGGAAGCCCCAGGCAGTAGCTGGCTGATGGCCATCCTGATCCCGCAGTGAGGCAGCTCCTCGCACGCCTGCTCCTCTCTCCCACAGCTCCCCAGCTTTGCACTTTCCCAGTTCCAGCAGAAGATCAAGAGGAGCAGCAGCCGCATCGTGCTGCCCTGCCGCAGGCTTTGGGAAGGCTCCTGCGCCCAGGTCCCTGCTGTTCTCGGGGGGAGAGCATCTCCCCCTCCCCAAGGAGAGGAAATGCCGGTGAGAGGGCTGTACAGCTTTGCACCTCACCAGCTTGGGGTTGTTTGCCCTGCCAGGAGAACCCACCAAGGGTGAGAAATTTTGCTCAGGTTCTTACTGTCACTGTCACCCAAAGGCAAGCTAGGAGGCAGTCAGGGTGTTGACACCTTCCTGGCCTTTCAGGACAGACACCTCAGGGGCAGCTTCCTTCTTGGCAGACAGTGCTTGGAGCCCAGCAAGCCCAGGCAAATTGAGGGGGTGGTTTTGCCTTTGGCAAAAAAATTTGCCCTTAGCAAATCAGCCCCTGCTGTGCTGGGACAATGACTTCACCCTCTGCCCACAGAGCTGCAGCTCTCCCCCTCTCCAGCAGCAGGGCAGAGGGGAGTTTCAGTTTGGGGTGAGCATCAGAGGCCCCTCGAGCAGCTGCTCTGGCAACCCTCTGCAAGCATGAAGGCTAAAGCTGCGCCCCTGATGGAGGGAAGGGCTCCCATGGCCTCCGCTGATCCATGGCTCAAGGCAGCAGCCGGGCTGCCAGGACGGGAGAAGGCGCTTTCGTAATCTCCCACCTGCAGTGAGGGAAGGAGCACTTTGCTGGGGGAGAAGGTGAGGAGAGGGCTGGGTTTGGTGTTCCTCCACCGAGATGAGGGTGGGAGAGGAGGCCAGGAGGCCGCTTCACTGTCAGGGCCTCTTACTGTGCTCTCCTTCAATTAGCTCTTGTCTTCCTTCCCACAGCGTGAGATGGGATTATTTCACACACTTGATAGCTACTAGAAACTGATCTTACCCGAAAGTCTGAGGCCGGACCTCTTACATATCACTCACAGCACATGAACAAGCCCCTCGGTGGCCCAGGGTGAGGGGATCAGAAGGTCGCTGCACGGCCGGCTCCTGCACAGAGCATTGGTGGAGCACCTCGCCTGCCCAGCTGAGCTCCGCTCCTGCCTAGCGCCTGTAGCACACCCCATGGGGAACTACAATCTGACAGACAAACCCAGCATTTCTTATGCCTTTTGCAAAGTTTCGGCACAGCTGAGGAGGTGATGCCCTGTCTGCCAGCAGGGAGAAGGGAGCTGATGGGCAGCGCAGTCCCAGCTGGGGTTTATCTCTGCATCACAGCCTGAAGATTTGTTGCAGAATAAGGATGAAATTGCTGTCTTTTCCCCCATGGCATCATTTTGGCAAGCGTTCCAAGAAAGACATTTGAACGAGCTGTGGTCTCCTACTTGACCTTTTACAGACTGAAAGTTTCATTTCAGAAATTAAATTATCTAACTGGCTCCAGCGCTGCCTGTGCCAGAAGCAGGAAAGCCCTCCCTCTGGGCTGGCTAATGCCCAGCTGAGATACAAGCAGGTCTTGTGTACTTTGCTAGAAGGGCCACATTTGGGCAGCGAGCGCTGCTGATGGCAAGCAGATTATGACTGGGATAGGAGACTTGTATCTTCTGTACAACCAAGCATTGCCCTTTCGGGTGCATACTCAGGCCGCGCAAGCGGTGAGTGTGGCGGGACGACAGCAGGACTGCAGCCCTGCTTGGATCACGGGGCTGCACTTTCCCTCCCATTCCTTCAGTGCTGGCTCCCCAGCACATCACCAAGCAAAAACCAGTCCCTGTGAACACTCAGGCAGCACAAGCTGCGTCTGCCACACCGGGGAGGACAAGCCAGCATCCTTACGGAGCACGGCTCAGCACGTCAGCCCGCTCGTCTCATCCCCCTTAAGAACAACGGGGAAAAAACACTTCACCTGGTATGACTCACTGGTAGATGTGTCTACGAAAGAAGAACCAAGAAAGGTTGCAGCAAGTATCACCAGAGCCAAGCACTTCCTGTTATTTCTTAGGTCTCGCTAGCAGTTCATTTTCCAGAACTGAAACATCCTCTGCGGCATAAAAACCTGAGATTTGAATGCTCCAGAACAAAGATTCAGAAAAATTGCTGGCTCTTCAAGTAGACACCAAGTAGAACTCAAGACAGTGAGAGCATCGTCTGTTGCAGTGCATCAGAACACGAGACATCACAAAACCAATAGTGACTATCAAAAAAAAAAAAGGTGTCAATCAAAAGTAAGTATTGCCCTGGTGAGACTCTATGCTCGTAGTATTTTCTTGTCTGTCCAATGGAGGACTGTGTTTTGGTGCAAATCCACCCAACAGGGCTAAATTCAGCTCTTTTTTACTTAGCTCTGAGCCTCTTAGCACCTAAGAGAGAAACATTCAGCTTGGAAAGCAACAGGGCAAGAGCCTAGTAACACAGAGGAGACCTCGGTGAGCTGCAGGGAGGCTGAGGGTGCTGCTCTCAGCCTGTGGTTACAGCAGCCAGGTGAAGGGCAGTACGAAAACACACACCTCCACACTTCACTCATGCCCGCTGTTGTGATCTCTGGCCTGCCCTGGCAGCCCTGCTCCCCAGGAAGGGGAACCAAGGGTAGCTTTTGGGTGTGTTCAGCCCTCACATGCCTTAAGCTGAGGCAACAGAGGCTTCCACAGTTCACAGGGTGGTCTTGAGCCTGGTCTTGAGGGTGGGTTTGGACCCAGTTTGTGACTGACAGTAGAAAAGCTTCTTGCTTCCCATTCCTGTCCTGGGCATGACTTAGCATCGTGCTGCAGTTCCTTGCTAGAGGAGCGAGCACACCTCTGCGCTGGGGCAGAGTCACCCCAGCACCACCTCAGGCACGCACCCGTGCCCCCCTGCAAGCTCCCATGGCAAGTGTCACCCCACCAGCACCAGCCCCAGGCAGAGGAGGGCCTCGGGCTGGTGGGAAGCCCCGGAGGGCATCTCAGAGGTATGACAGAAGCTCAGCAAACCTCCAAAGTGTTCCTGCAGCTCTGTTAAGCTCAGGGCACGGAGAGCACTACTCAGTGGCAGGGGGTCCCAGGAGGAGCCCACTCTCCTGCTCAGGTCCCAGTAACCCTCCCTCTCTCCCAGGAAGGACCAGTGCTCCTGTAACCAGGGAGGAGTCCTAGCTTAGTTGCTTGCTCTGGAGAAAGCACGGATAAAGCCCTGGCCACCCAGGACCGGTCAAGGACACTGCGATGCTGACCCACACCCACCAGCTGCCAGCACTCGGGTGGCAGCCAGTACCTCCTGGGGACCACTGTGAAACCTCCTGCATCCGTGTTTCCACGGCTCAGGGACCAAAACATTTTTCTCTCGCCTCCTTTGTACCAAAGTGAGATCCAGATACCCAAGTTCCATCGCAGGTGTGAACTAAGATCCTCTCCACCCACTCTCATCTTTATTCATTCCTTAAAGGGGTATAGGCTATGTTACAAAATAAACCATGAAATGTTTGCCAGATGCAACTTTAAATAGTGAAAGCCCTAAAACAAGCTGCAGAAAGCTAAGGCGAGAGCAAGTGACACTCCCGGGGCTGTGTCTGCCATTGGAGTTCAAGCAAAGTGACCAAGCTCTGGAGGAGCCAGAGACCTCCTTCTCCCTGACAAGTTACTTCCCTGCCCTTGTACCAGCAGATGAAAATAGTCACGTTTCTGAAGAGAAACAAAGGATGGCCGGTTTAACTCCCCTGGCACATGTAGGATAGTCAAGCCTGAAAGAGATACTACACGTTCTTCTGCCCAACACAGCAAGGTGCTAGCTGGGTGCCTCGTGCGCTGTGGCTCTTGCAGGTCTCTCCACCTCCCCCTGTGCTGCCTCTTACACCAGATGGGCCAGCATACCCAGTCAGATGTTGCTCTAAAAAGGTCTGTCCTCTCTCAGGCTCCTCAGCTGTCCTGTAGAGACAGTTACGGGCATCTCCAGGGACCAGAGGAGAGAGCAGTGTTGGTCCAGCACATGGAGGGTGATGCAGGCACAGTTATTGCAGTCCAACCTCCCCCTTCAGGAGGGAGATCTCGGCAGTTCTCTATCATCACCTGGTTATACACAAGGTGCTTACCAGCAAAACCAAGGGACATGGTTCCTCACCATCAGCAGGAGGCCCTACGACGAAAAGCCGTGAAAATTCAGGCAATGCCACCAGTGATCAGACAGCTTGGCAGTTTGCAATGCTTGGGTACCAGACCTCTTCTATGACAAAAAAAAATATTGTCTGGATAGCCAAACAGACCTATGCTGAGAATAAAGTTTCACTTTATTTGTCAGCAAGGAGTCACAGAAAACTGAGCTGAAACAGTCCTTGGAGAGACCATGTAGCATGTGACCCTGGCCCTCAGCAGGATGAGGATGCCTCACAGATGATTGCCCTTTGAAACTCCCAGTGCTGGAGATCCTCTCCCCGAAATCTATTTCAGTGCTTCGTTTGAGAAAAAAAGAAAAAATATCCTGGCCTAACTCTCCCTTGCTCCCTTGCTGCAATTGAAGTACATGGTTTCTTATTGTAAAAACAGCAGAGAAAGTGAAGTTCACTCCCTTCCCACTTGCGTTTTTCCCGCACACATACTTCAAGGCTCTCACATCTCCTTTCAGTATTTTCTTCTCTGCATTAGACGACACCAATTCTTTCAACTTCAGACAAACATTTAATTGCATACAACTATTTTTTGGTGCAGGAGGTCATGCATTTGATGCTCAAGCCAGAGGGCTGTCCCAATGTGTGGCAGGAGAAAGGAAAGAGACGTGACAAAACCCTGTAAGATCCTCAGGCCCATGTTGTCTCACTAGAGCTTTAGCTGCCTCTTGATATAATCCATCCAAAAAGCACAAAGACAACAAGGTGGGGTAAAAACAAGTGAACCACAGAAAGACACAGGTTTCAAGGCTCAGTGCTCCATACCTTAGCATGGAGATACTTGAAGAAAAAACGGCCGCAGGGATGAATGCCCGTCACCTTGAATCTCCTCCACTGGGTCTCTTCATCTCCGTTTGATGCTCTCTCTAATTTTCTGCAATGAAAGCTGCCGTTTCATAGCTGAGCGTTAACGCGAGGCTGGGCGAGAGGGTGCCTGACTACTGTAAACTGTCTTTTCCCAGTGAATGGTGGAGCAGAGAGACCACCGTCCCTCCCAGGGCAGACGTTCAGGGTCTTTCTCTCGGGTGGTTTGGAGTCTGCTGCTGAGTGCGGGGCCTGGGCCGCGGGGGCAGCGCTTGCTGCTGCACCTGGGGCTGCGGCAGCGGCCGCTGCTGCACGCGAAGCTGCTTCATGGTAGGGTTGCACGGTGGGCGAGGGAGCTCCCGCACTGCCATTTCACTGTCCATCTGGCAAACCTGTGCCATTCGCTCCTCATCTGCAACGACAGAAGGACCCAGCCATCAGGCACGTAGTTCATGTCTAAGCAGAAGTTGAACAGCCAGGGAAAAGTGCTTGGCCTAAGCAAGAAAAAGCCAAACATTGGTCTTACCTGGAAGGCCGCTGTCACTCTCAGGTGAGCAGCTCATTGCTACTCCAGTGAAACAACCAAAATCACCCCCGCCTGCGCACCCCAGGCAAACCCTTAAGCTTTTTGGCTGCCTGGCTGAGGTTAAGGTACCTGGGGGCATTTGGGGCAGCTCTGCCCTCTCTGTGCTGGGGGAACGGACTTTGTGGCCACTGATGGACACCCCCAGCCTGAGCTGCTCTGTCCTCTTTTGGAAACGGACCACTGAAGGGAAAGTGAGATGTAACCCCAGGAAGCACCATCAAAGCACTCTGCCCTGCCACTATCCGTGCTGGGATTTCCAGGCACCTGGAAGCCAGAGTCCACTTTGCCACCAATAACTTTCCCAACATGTAGAAGAAGTAAACTCATACCAGCTGACTTTCCATCACTGACTCATCATTTCTGAAATGTCAGTCAGCTTACCTTAGGGATTGAGGGATTTAACCTCTTGGGACACTGAAATGGCCTTAGGCACACAGCAAACTTTTTCACAGAGGCCAGTCACCCTCTTACATTAGTTCTCACTTTCCCACACTTCTCTTATTCTTAATTCTTGCTGAATCCAGACCCAAGAATTGAGGATATGCTATCACTGCACAGTTGAGGGAATAACATATCCCACTCAAACAAGAACAGCCATCATGTAAAATAACACTCGGATGGTGACACTGACACCAGCCTTGTGCTCATGAGCTGTGGCAGGCCTTCTGAGATGACGTCCCGCGGTTGCACTCTGCTGAGTTCTCCCAGAGAAGGGGGAAAGCGGTTGCCTATTCTTCATGGTCGTAACTTTGGGGGCAGCAGGAGGGCCATGTGGAATTACCCCCCCTCAGGTGCAGTGAGGCTGCACGACCCTGGGCCATGGGACCAGTCACACTCACCCCTATTGTCAGCCTGACCACTGGCACCTTTGAGGTATCAGCTGAGGTTTCCTTTAGACATCGGCCTCTTTATCTTAACACAGACTGTGGTGGTGTTACAAAGGAGCTTTTACTCCCTTTTTGTATCTTGAGAACTGACTCACACAGAGACAAGCTGTTATTTGAGACCACACAGGAAGCCTGACCCAGCCTGTGGGAGCAGCACTCAGAAATGAGCCTTTAATGCTGCCGAGGTGCTCCCCTGGCTGCAGGGCAGCCTCCCTGCCAGGGCGACCTCCCTCCTGCTTCAGCCTCCCCTTCCACAACTCTTCCTGAGCAGCAGCTCAGTATCCTCTGTCCACCGAAACTAGCAGCAACGCCTGGGTTGTAATTCATAGAATCATAGAATCCTAGGTTGGAAGGTCCAACCTTTCTAGGTAAGAGCACAGTCTAGACAAGACGGCCCAGCACCCTGTCCACCTGAGTCTTAAAAGCCTCCACAATGTGGCAGAGTCAACCAGTTCCCTGGGGAGATTCTTCCAATGGTTGACTGTTCTCATTGTGAAAAATTTCCCTCTCGTGTCCAATCAGAATCTCCCCAAGAGCAACTTGTCTCCATTCCCCCTCGTCCTCTCCATGTGACTCCTTCAAGGCAACCTCTCCATCAAGACCGAGAGACAACTCTCAGAGCAGACTGTGGCAGAGTATTTCCTATGGTCTTAAAGAGGCATGAATTTTGGACAACAGATGAAATCTCTGCCCACTCTGAAGGACTCTTTAGAGTGCCCCATGTTGGACCTCCAGTGTTGACAGGCCTCCAAGGACATCATTTTGTAGAGAGGACAAGTTCTGCGAGATGCCTGAGGAAACTCACAAAAAAGTCAAGTCCTTCTTGCCCCTTCTCACTACCTACAATGTTTCCAAATGTGACTAATGATTTTGAGGATCCTAATTTTACACCATATAAATTTAATGAAAAAAACCTGCTGACGGGATATTGAATTGTATATTTTAACCCTACAGATACTCGTGACCAGTGGCCTTGGTCAAACTTTAGAGGAGCAATTCTTCCCCCACGAATAAACAAAAGGGCTTGAATCACAGAATCACAAGGGTTGGAAGGGACCTCGGGAGATCATCTAGTCCAACCCCCCTGCTAAAGCAGGCTCTCCTAGAGCATGCTACACAGGACTTCATCCAGGCGGGCTTTGAATATCTCCAGAGAAGGAGACTCCACAACCTCCCTGGGCACCCTGTTCCAGTGCTCTGTCACCCTTAGAGTAAAGAAGTTTTTCCTCATATTCAACGGAAACCTCTTATGTTTCAGTTTGCACCCATTGCCCCTAGTCCTGTCGCAGGACACCAGTGCAAACAGACTGCTTCCATCCTCATGACTTCCGCCCTTAAGATATTTGTATGTGTTGATAAGGTCCCCTCTCAGTCTTCTCTTCTTCAGGCTGAACAAGCCCAACTCTCTCAGCCTTTCCTCGTAGGGGAGGTGCTCCAGTCCCTTTATCATCCTAGTTGCCCTCCTCTGGACTCTTTCTAGGAGTTCCTCATCTTTCTTGAACTGGGGAGCCCAGAACTGGACACAGTACTCCAGGTGGGGTCTCACCAGGGCAGAGGAGGGGGGGAGGATAACCCCCCTCGACCTGCTGGCCACACTCCTCTTAATACACCCCAGGATACCATTGGCCTTCTTGGCAACAAGGGCACATTGCTGGCTCATGGTCAGCTTATTGTCCACCAGGACTCCCAGGTCCCTCTCAGCAGAGCTGCTATCTAGCAGGTCACCCCCCAGCCTGTAATGGTGCATGGGGTTCGACCTCCCCAGGTGCAGCACTCGACACTTGCTCTTGTTGAACTTCATCAAGTTCCTCTTTGCCCAGCTCTCCAG